AAGGATCAAACTTTTAATAAAACTGTATTATATTTCATAAAAAATTAAATACATTTAAAGGTTTATTAACTTCCCAATTTATTTTTTCCAATTACATTGCTTTCTGGTGTAATACTTTCGCTCAGCACTGTAGCAAACAAAAAGCAACTGTGGTGGAATTTCAATTTCAGCGAGCCACATCGCCTTTGATGGGTCCACTTGTCCGAAACGAAAGCCATGCCCAAAGGCGTGTGATTTATAACTAATTGATGAACACAATCATGCAGTTGATGGCCACATGGCCGAATGTGGGGTGGATGTGTCCTTGTCGCTGCGTACAGTTGCGCCCAAGGTCACCGGAGCTGTGAGTGGCCGGAGGACTCGACTTCTCGGTCGAAGAAGTGGTGCAGTCAAGCGTTTCGCTTGAATAATTTGCGGCATAACCAAGTTTATTATGCTTAGGGACTTGTGGTAGTGGAAATTTTTGGCTAGAGGCACGCCTAAATGGCGTGCTCGCATTTCCGTTTCCGTTGTTAGCAATCAATTTGAAATTCGCTTTTTATGCGGTCCATTTTGTTGCCGTGCCCGTTGCTTGGGTTTTGTTTTTAATTGATGAATAAATTTAATTGAACTAAATGGATTTCGTTTTGCGTCATTTTACTGTATTGGTGCCCTGCCTAATGGCTGCCACAAATATATATATAAATACCTATATATCGGGGTATAATGTTTGTATGTTCGCTTATATATTCAGTTGGGTCTAACGAAACCCTTTTTTGGATTTGGTATTGGTAGGCTGAATACAATGGCTATATAGTAGCTGGCAACGTATTTTAATTGAATTTCAATTGATTGCAAAAATGTTCAATTTGGTGCCGCAGCCAAATTTCATTTTAATTAATTAGAATTGATAACAATAACGGGTTTCCATGCATTTTTTGTTGCCCTCTAGGTCGGTGGCTGAATAATAGATGCCTTAATGGCTTTGTATTTGTATTAGCCGGGCCGGAAGGGAGGTTCCACCATCCACACGGAAAAAGTTATTATTGGAAAAACGGGTTGAGGGTCAAAATTGAATATCAACTAACTGCCGGATAATTATTGATTGAAAGTGTCGAGATATCATGCTAATCGAATTGAAATTGCAGCAATATTAAATGCTCACAAAACAGTATCATAGCTAGTCATTAAATACATAATAAATATTTAGTGATTAAAGCAAGTAATTGATTTGTATAGGGAAAATAACAGAATTTAAAATGGCTAGGAATTTATGTTGTTAAAATTACGCAAAGCGAGAGACAAGTTTAATGGCAATGTCATTTTAATTACGACAGTTTTGACAAGGTTGTGGGTAGATTAAAAAGTATTTGCAATTGTTAAAGTGGCAAAGAAATGCAGTGCAAACTCCAAGACTACTTTAATATTTACATATTTTCAATATAATATTATGTTTTAAACTAGTTTCAACTGTTTTCTTTAATTCAGTATGAAAGCCGCCACCTTTTTTTAACTTAAGTATTCCGAGCGGATATTACCCTACTAGAACAAGCACCCCATAACTTTTCCAATCAAAAATTAATAACTAAACCACCCAAAATGCTATATTTTTTTGTAACTGCTTAGCTGTTTAATAGATTTTCTAATGCCAGAAGTAGTTGTAAAAAGTTTTTCCATTTGGCGCACATAAGCTTTCCCAAAGTGAATTCATTTCTTTCACTCTTTTACATGACACACACACATACGTACAATAAAATATGTTCACCAAACTGCAATCAAAGCGACATAGCACAAATTTCACAGATTTTTGCACATTAAAATATGCTCGCTACTCCAGCAGATTCACACACACTCATGCTACACACACGCGTCCCCTGAGCCCATTTTTAGCATGCCAAAACAAAAAAAAAGAAAAGCAGCTAGCAAAGTTTTTATGCCAACGAGAAGAAGAAAAAAAAAGTGAATGCGAAAAGTAATCGAGGAACGGGAAGCAGGAGCAGCAAAAGGACTTTGTGGCCAATGCTGCGATGCTACATTTCACCCCCTTAGCACCCCGTTTATGGCCTGGAGCCATGGAATGGCGGCGGCACTGGCAAAATGCAACGCTGAATTTGATAATCAATTACCGTGCCATAGCTGGAGGTCCTTGGAGCCACATATGGGCCACATTTAGTGCAGACTGAACACTGCAGACAGCCACAAACACAAGTAAATGCCTTCGAATACACTAGACTTTGCACAACGCCACGTATGAGTAATGTGAGGAATTGTCTAGTGCAAGGGGAGGTTTGGTATGCAAGTGCGGTGCAATTGGGGCAGGTGGTAATGCAAATAAATATTCAAATATTCTCTCAGATTTGCCCAAAATTTTTCATTACAAACTGCAAATTGGTTTGTGTTTGCACAGCAGCTGCTGCCCGTTAGCCATGTCCATGTCCTTGTCGTTGTATATCTTAAACCAATTAATGAATAGCCTGCAATAAATGCTAAAAATTTCACAAATCTTTCACATTTAGCAGAAATGGATTTATGGTTGACCGCAATTCAATGCAAGCATAATCCTTTTGCCAATGTGGTATGCAGGATTTTATCCAGAGACAGTATTTATATTTAGATAAATATTATGTATAAAGTTTTAGCAAACATTATTACAAATGGAATAAAATGTTAAAATATTGATTTTATTTAAAGAAGAAAATCTTGTGTGATTAAAAATAATACTTAAATTTAAGGATAAAGTCAAAATTGAGAGGTGTAATATAAAAGGAAAGATAATATATCATAGAATTTTCCACCTCGTATAAGAAATTTATTAAAATAAGGTGGCTACAAATAAGTATTTCTAGGAATCCTAGAACGAAATGATGAAACGAAATAAGTAAAAATTAAAAAAATAGTTTTATGCTTCACTTGGCAATTTCACTTACAGTTCTCAAACATTTTTTTATCAACTTTAATTACTATTTCCGCTTTTCATTAATTGGCGCTGTCGGCATTGGCAGCAAATCGCTTAATGAAATCATTTAATCAGTGCCTGCGACACAATTGACAAAGTGGAAATGGCAGCTCCACCTTTTGCTCCACTAAGAGAGCACATGTTCCATTTATGCTCTACACTAATCAAGCTGGTAGTGGGAGCAGCAGAGGAGCTCCTCCGTTCAGTTGGGGAGACTCCACTGACACCAGGGAATTGTGGCCCGCCGACAGCTGTCCTTAATTACATGGAAATCCACACTAGATTCGTACTACCTCTCTCCTCTCTCTCACTGGCAACCAAAGTCCCCACAGAGTCATTCACCTTGCCACAAAAAAAATAAAACGAAAACAATGCAAATGGCTAAAAATAGGGTTACGTTCGGACACCGAAGAATATAGTGCCCTTTAGGAAACAATTTTATATTCCTAAATGGACATATAAAGTTATAAAAGGTTTAATTAAAAATGATATTTTATATTAAATATATTAATTCTTTAAAAGGTTAATACCTAAATAATATTATGTATGATAAGTGCTATTATACTATAATATTATTAATATATTACTACTTTATAATCAGTAGATTCGATTTTATATGACATATATTATAAAAAATGAAGCAATTAAGTATCTCAAATTATACTTTTATTATTGTTATTTTACAAATGTAAGCTGCAAATATTTAATCCCCAGAATAATTCCCTATCAAAGGGCATACAAAAAATGTAGCGGAAGGCAAAAGGCAGAGGCAAAAATCGAAATCAAGTGAATATAGCATATTATTTCAACAGGCAACTCATTCAGCATATAATATTACCACCCATGGCGATGTATGTAGTTGATGTACGTAGCGCACCTCGGGGGGTGGATGGGTTGCTCTTCTTGGGGTGTTCTGCGAGAGGGATGGGTGCTTGGGGGTTTAGGGCTGACGGGTTTTGAGGGTTGGGGCTATGGCATGGCATCGCGTAGGCCTGCGGAATTGAGGTGAATACAGAGGAGAACACATTCACACACTAAAAGGCAAACAAAGGGAAATCAATCTTTGCACATACTTTTAGCATATGCACACGTATGATCCCCAACCTCCTTTCAGCTCCTCCCACAACCACACACAGCCGCACACACACAAGTACGTATATATGTGTGTATGTGTGATTGTCGGCTTGACGGGGAATTGGGGAATATTTGCATGCCTTTGTGTACTTTTTCCATATGATTTATGACCTAAATTGTTGCTGCTCACACACATATAATTACACACACACACATTTCGTCCTGGCTCTGGCTTCAGATGTGGCTGTGGCTACAGCTTTAGATGTGTGTGTGTGTCGCCTTGGGACGCGCGCCAAAGTATGCTACACTTTTTGTTTTATGAGTTAATAAGTAGGCGTGGCCCCAGCCCAATTGCTACACTTTGATTATGGCGCCCCTCCGCCAAACTGGGAATATATATACATACATACAGGCGATATATGTATGTGCAGATCAGATAGGATAGCGAACAAAACTTTTTCAAGCATACTTTTGGGGCAAGCAATTTAGAAAATGTACCTCGGCGGCACCAAAGTTCCTTTCACGCTCGACTGAGCTGCACTCGCTTATGGGACCAAATTTCGTTCCATATAGCAGACTCTCTTCTAGTTCAAGTTTAAAGGAAATCGCTGTCAAAATGTTGCGGAATTTTGAAAACAATTTAAAATTGAAGAAGCACTTTAAGGTAAAGTGGTCTCTATCTATTATTATAATAAATTGAATGTGGAAATCACCTAAACCTAACAGCCCTAATACTAATTACCTAAGCACTCACTCGGTTTGTGCCCCCAAAACAAAAAAGGCCACAACACTGACCTTTAGCAGTGCAAAAAAACAGAAAAAACTTACACGGAATCAATGCAACTGCAGTGCCAGCAAAAATGTCAGCAACGGATTAGACCAATCCCCACCGGTTAATCCCCGCCGGTGCATTGCTAATCCAATTCCGAGTGGCTAGTGAGCCGTATAAAAGCTAGAAACCATGCCGGCAGTGATTTCGTCTTGGCCCAAAGACCGGAGCATGGAGTCCGATAACGTGTCCGCCAGTCTGTTTGGCAACGTGTCCACCGTGCTGCGGCCGGAGCCGCGTCTGTCCGCGGAGTCGCGCTTGCTGGGCTGGAATGTTCCGCCGGAGGAGCTGCGTCACATACCCGAGCACTGGCTGACGTACCCTGAGCCGCCCGAGTCGATGAACTACCTGCTAGGCACTCTCTACATATTCTTCACGCTTATGTCGATGCTGGGCAATGGTTTGGTCATTTGGGTCTTTTCGGCGGCCAAGTCACTGCGTACTCCCTCAAACATCCTGGTGATCAATCTGGCTTTTTGCGACTTCATGATGATGATCAAGACGCCAATCTTCATCTACAATAGTTTCCACCAGGGCTATGCCTTGGGGCACCTGGGTTGCCAGATCTTTGGCATCATTGGCTCTTATACAGGAATTGCAGCGGGTGCCACGAATGCCTTTATAGCCTACGACCGCTTCAATGTGATCACCCGACCCATGGAGGGTAAGATGACCCATGGCAAGGCCATCGCCATGATCATCTTCATCTATATGTACGCCACCCCTTGGGTGGTGGCTTGTTACACGGAAACATGGGGTCGCTTTGTGCCCGAAGGCTACTTAACCTCCTGCACCTTTGACTACCTGACCGATAACTTCGATACACGCCTCTTTGTGGGCTGCATTTTCTTCTTCAGCTTCGTCTGCCCCACCACAATGATCACCTACTACTACTCCCAGATTGTGGGTCATGTCTTTAGCCATGAGAAGGCCCTGCGGGATCAGGCCAAGAAGATGAACGTGGATTCGCTGCGCTCGAATGTGGACAAGAGCAAGGAGACGGCAGAGATTAGGATAGCCAAGGCGGCCATCACGATCTGCTTCCTATTCTTTTGTTCCTGGACTCCCTACGGAGTGATGTCCCTAATTGGTGCCTTTGGAGACAAGAGTCTCCTAACTCCAGGAGCCACAATGATCCCAGCCTGTGCCTGCAAAATGGTGGCCTGTATCGATCCCTTTGTCTATGCCATAAGTCATCCCAGATACCGCATGGAGTTGCAGAAAAGATGTCCCTGGCTGGCGATTAATGAAAAGGCACCGGAATCGTCAGCCGTTGCCTCCACCAGCACCACCCAGGAGCAGCAACAGTCCACCGCTGCCTAATGGAGTGGAAGCAGAAAACCACCCAAAGTCACCCACAAAAGACCGACCACGATGATGAACTGAATTGCTAACGAAATCGTAATACGAAATGTCAAGGAAACAATGTATTAATATTTAACCGAATTCAACTACTGTTCAATGTGTAACAAACGTATTTTCAATTATTATTTGTAGCTAACTTTGTGTTTATGAATGAAATATAGTGAAATTACTGCATGCCACAAATGAAGAACATTTTTCATTGCAGATACTAGAATAATTCTTTACCAACCGCAACAGCAACCCGTTTAAATTTAATGGAATAACCCTTTTATTTAAATGGAAAATATTGTTTATACCATAGTAAAGTTTTATGTTTTAACGCAGCCATATATGCACAATATCCATATACTTGAGGCACATTATAAATTTAGGACTGAAATGTCCTGATAATGCCCGTTTCTGCTTGTGGGAAAATATCATTTCCGCTCCCAACGCGGATATAAAAGTATTAAAGCCGGCCCAACCCCATTCTATGGGCGGCTGGCTCTGCTGTCAGTTGTCAGTTGTCAATCGGCACTTGACGCAGGCATTGCAGGTCACTCAGACGAGCCGAAGGAGCCGACTCTGGGTTTGTCCCAGGAGTAGAGATGGCCAACAACAAAAGAGTTGGCCAAGTACAATGGAGGGGGAAAATGGAAGGCCTCTTGTGCTAGTTCCAATGCGATCCACAAAAGGAAAGCTCTCTCTTTTCACTCTCTCTCTCTCTCTCTCTCAATCTCGGTTTAACTCTCTCCTTAGAGAGACTTTCCAGTGGGAAGGAACTTGCGCAGTTTTCAGAACGAAACGCTTTGGTTATGGAACACGGAGAGAGGGAATCACGGATTTAAAATTTCCCTAATATTAGAAGCATTCTGACAAGTTACAAACTTGCAATCCACACACACTTAAATACCCGCACGTGCAGCCCGAGGGAATTTCCATTTATTGTGCCCGCCATCAAAATAAACAAAAAAAAAACTATCAACATCGACATGAAATCCACACTTGGCTCCCGCCCTCATCAATCATTTCGTCAATGCATGAATTTTTCAGTAATCCAACTGGTTGACTGTCATAAAGCCAGAGAACAAAACATATGACCAAAAAAATTATAAATAAAAGTCAGATAAAACAAACATTTCATATGCTATTAAGAATTTAAGTTGCGGAGATTTCACCCCACAAATAAATAAATCTAAATTAAAACCTTATCTTTTACAAAAATAAACATTATGGCTCTTATTCACACTTGCATTCCACACTCAGTATGCATGAATATTCATGAATTCAATATAAAAAAACACTTTGGCTTAACTTCAAATTAATTTGGCATTTTTGAGGCAGGATATCACCTGGAAATTTGCATATGAAACTTGAAAACATACTTCGCTCCTTCTTTGTGCCACATGTGTTCCACACTCGTTAATCACTCCCCTTTCCGTGCATTTTTCAGCCAAAATAGGGGACTGTAAATCACCATCCACAAGCCACAAGAGACGCCTAGATTTGTGTGGGTTATCCCTCACATCGGCGGACAGCCTCACATGGATTCCACATGGCATAGAACTCGCCGCTTTAGGAATGGCATTTAACAATTTGTTTGGCCAAAGTGTTGCAGCGTGTGTTTGTATGGCGCCTCATTATTATTGTTTTCCCAGCTACCATTTCCTTCGTGTACTTCTTCTCCCCTCTCGCTTCTTCCTTGGCACCTAGCACGCTTTTCCACTTATTGCCTGCCGGGCATTTGCCAGAGCCTTTTTCCTGCGTCGTTTTGCGGCGAACCCAAAAACCGCACACAGACAGCAGGCGAAAACGAGCTGGGGAAAAATGGTAGGACAGCAGCGGGAGAGCGCGGAAAAGCGGCAGGAAAAGCGCTGAGCGGGTAGCGAGGCCATAAACCAAAATCGGCCGCAGCCACCGACGCTTGCAAATGGTAAAAACGAAGTAAAATTAATGAAAATCACACACACACACACAAGGGAATATACAAAGGCAGACAGTTGGGCAGACAGAAAGACGGTGCGGAGCGTGGCGGTTGGCGGGCAGAGAGACAATTAAAATGGCACCCACAGAACGTCCTTGCACCGTTGAGTGAATGCCGCCAGGCAGCGCGGCAGGTCCACAAAAGCCACCGGGCCACCTCAAACCACCACCCAAACCCCCGAACCCACCCATCGCCCGACAGCCTGGCACATTTGTCTTCCACGAAATTCGCTTTGGCTCTCATTAATTAAGATAATTAGGCCTTTTCGACGCCTTCAAAGTTCAACGTGTAAAAGAACAAAAAAAAAAATAAAAATAAACTGAAGGGAATACACAAAAACACCCCAAGAATGTGGGGAAAGCATTCGGTGACAGTTCAAAGTTCGCCATCGCCATCGCATGTTGCAGGTTGCTTCCAGAAAGAAAAGAAATATCGACTCTACAATTTGCCTCGCATGAGCAACCTCCTCGAATCCCCTTAATGAGTGGTTAGCAGCATTCTTGCGTTTGATTGCCCCACATACAGGCTCACATGCTCGCCAAAAACCACTCACTTAAGGTCCTTCATCTCGTCCCCAAAACCTTTTGTCGAGGATACCCTTAAGCCAACGGCGGCTGCAACCACAAACAGAAACTGCGGCAACGGTGGTTAACATCCTAAAATTTGTCATCAACAGAACTTTAGGAACAGTAGTAGAGCTAACAAATTTTGGGTTTAGAAACATTAGGACCATGGTAATCTAATTACATTATACCTAAAAAAGGAAATAGTAAAAATATTATAAAGTTGAAGTGACTTTCTTAACAAATTGGGTTCAGGCATTTCCTGACAAAATTCCTAAAACTACATTCGCTTGAAAAATATGTTTAAATACAATTTTATAGATAAATTTGTACTTGGAAATTATTACTTACAAACAATATTCAAAGCCCATAAGTCGGGTTTGTCCTTAGTCTTTCTAGTAAGCCTTTCTGAACCCTTAATTCAAAGTTACAATTGCATTAACTAATATTAATTAAATACAGAATGCATTATTTATCATATCCCATTATGGTTAAGATAAATCCCTTAAATAATTCTACATAATAACCAACAGCACACAAATGCAAGAGTAATCACAAAGTAAATAAAGTAGAACTTTCTATAAACTTCCCCCAATTTGCATTTGCATTTATCGTCATGTTTGTGTTCCTTCTTCCTTAACTTTGATGAAGCGAAATTCGATTTCCCTTTGAAGGGCAAAAGCAAATTTCTTTTCATATTTTTGCATATTGCTTGAACTGATTAAAATCACTTGCAGCTGCACTCTCGATGCCTCATAAAAATGTCAGCAAAATTAGTTATAAATCAGCCGGGCCCGATCCCAAGCCCCAACAAACTCAACTTGAAATGCACAAGACACAAGGCAGCTCACAACTTTGTGAGCCAAAATGAAGCCATAAATTATACGAACTAATAATTATATGCCATCAAATTGTTGTAAGCAGCGCGCAAAAAGCAAAGGCAAAGTCAAAAGCTAAAGCCAAAGCCAGAGCAGGAGGCAAAAGCTAAAGCTAAAGCCAAACCCGAAGCAGGAAGGCTGAAGTCAGCCAGCGAGTTTAACGGCCAACATAAATTATAGACATTTAAAAAAAGGATGGGGGGGAGTGGCACGTTCATCTAGCAGGAAGGAAGGATGGAGGCAGGGCGGGCAATGCCGCGTGGAATATGCGATTTTTATCACAGTTTATGCACTGCACACACAAAGTCAACATAATAAGGTCAACACGCACAGGACTAAGGACGAGCGGTAGGTGGGTGGCGCTTGGCTGGGTGTCGCTTTAATTAAATGGCAAACATCCCGCGCGTCAGAGAGCAAAGTTCGAGGTCAGTCGGCAGTTGCCAGTTGCCAGTTTGCAGCTCACAGTTTACGCGGCCATAGCCGTGCCTCATTGAGAATCCACATAAACAAAAGATTGGGTTAAGCGGGCTCATGGCATCCATGGCATACGTCTAAGTGACTCTCCATGGGACAGGCATCAGGACATCATGACAAATGCCTCGTTTGCCACCTAGCCACTTTACAGCTCCTCGCAGTCCATATCTTGGCAGTCGTAAAGTTCCTGCGATGGCTACAACACAAAAAAAAAAAACGAGCGTTTAAATTTTGTAATTTAAATGCAAATTGACAGGCAAATGACAAACATTGCAATTAACGAGGGACTAGCGGGCGTATACGCAATGTGGCCACAGACTCACAAATGGCCGGACTCAACCAGACAGCCAACAGCGACTCCGCAACAGGAGATAATTTAGGCCCTGCTACGTGGAGCTCTAAAATTGCCCAAGCCTCGTCGTCATCTGTTGGAATGAAGGGATGAAGCTGGGATCGAGGTTCTGGGGGTAGGAGTGTAGGAGCACGTAATGGCCTCGACTCTAAATGGGAATATGCAAATCTTTCCACTGGTTAGCGCCTGCATTTGCAAGTCATACTCGAAGCACTTCGAGGGGACTGAGACCAAGACGGACTACCGAATGACTCGCCGCTGAACCATTGTAAGGACTTCGATTGGGTTTGGTGTTTGCTTTAGATGAGGACATTAGGGGAAACTACTGTCATTTAAAGATATTATTAAGAAAATATTACAAAATGAACATAAAATTTAAGTCAATTCTAGATTCTTGTGATTGGTTTTTGAGCTTTGCTCAATAACAATAAATATTTATGCATTTGCATTTAGTCAGTTTAAAAAATGTCAGTTTAAAAAATGCATTGTATACCTAAATAGTCTCCTTTTAAAGGTTTTAAAAACCCATATGATTTCTGTAACGCCTCTTTTTAATTTTATAGGAATAATAACTATCTTAAGCAGAATTATTAACTAATCAATAAAACAATTTATGTAAAAATTTTAGACTTGTACATAAAATATAATGATTAAAAAACCTTTAACTTTATGGTTTATAAAAGCTTGAACTTTAATATATTTTTTAACAAACAAAGAAAACAGTTTTTTGTAATAATTTTTGACATTTATCTACAATATGGGTTAAAAGCAAAAGCTTGCACTTTTTATATAAACCCTTCAACAAAAAGTAATTGCAATTTAAACAATTTCCTTTATAATCGGCCGCATGTAAATAATTACTTTCAAGTTTTGGCAAAACTTTTTGGCGTTTCAAACTTTATAGAGCTAACATAAATAATTACATAAAGTTGTATTCATAACAAATATTTGTA